GCACGAGATTACGTGTACTCTTAGTAGGTGTTAAGTGTGTATGAAAATTGAAATTATAAGATTAAGATTATCGAGCGCGTTCACGAGAATTCTGAAGTTCTGATCAGAACCTCATGTAGACCTGGTAGGGAATCTACATGGAGGTTCTTCCATTCCGGACTCGTGACGTCTATGTTCTTCGTAAGATATTCTAACTCTCGATATCTTGGACCTCTTACGATCCTCGGACCTCTTACGATGGATCCTATGATACATAGATATGAACAGTACCTTACRATAGGTACGTAGGAATGGTATGCTCCTTCATTCCTTTCTTCGAAGCTTCGTATCGTACGTATACTTCAGATACAGTACGTACGTATCCTTTCCAGTACGTACATATCCTTTCCAGTACGTACGTATCCATTGCAAGGCATGACTTGGATTCATCAAAGCTCTTGAGAGGATCCTTTGCTGATGTAATCATGGATGAATTGTTGCCACTAATACTGGTGGTGGTGGTGGTGGAATCAAAGGAAGATGACAAGCAATTGACATTGATGACAACAGCTCCTGTCGCTGGTAGCAGTTCAGTCAGTGTCAGAAGAATAAGCAGGAGAAGACACAGCAACAAGAGCATTAGATTGTTTTGCTTTCTTACCAGATCTACCAGGAGTGACAAACAACTTATACTCTTCATGTGTTTGCGTTCCCAACATGGAGGGAGGTGTTCCAGGAAGAGGGATTTCCAAGGGATCATGCTTCTTGCTGGTGTTGGAGGAGACAGTTGATGCCGCTGATGCCAATGCTGAAGCAGACACTGACCCGGAGGAGGATGTGTCCATTGAAGAGTTTTCAGGGGACTTAAAAATGAATAGACTTTGTTGATTCTTCAATTGCAATAGGCTTTTTAGTTCCCTGTTCCTTGATTTGCTCCTTGAAAACAATCCTGAGGAGATTTACAGGGATTCCACTGTGTACTCCATTTAGAATCTTGGGTGAATAGTTTGGGTGCATGTCCTTTCCAGGAAAGTAGATGAAGCTCTCCTCCCAGATAGCTCTTTCCTTATCCGTGTCCTTGAGTTTGTTGCATTCATTCCCATTTCAACATAGGAGGGATGATCGCAATGAAAGGTATGCTTGTCCTTTGCGTCAAGATTCATGGGACACATGCTGTAATAGTCACTCATGTATGCCGGCCACTTGATTCTAATCTTGAAGTGTCTTTCATTGATCCAACTAAGACTAAGATCACTAAGTGTTGTAGCATGAAAATCTTCACAAAGCCAATCAAATCCTCAAGAGTGTCATCCCATACATTCCAACGAGTTGGGAACATTGGTCTTGCCATGGGCTTCACTAGCCGGGCACCAGAGAGCTTCACATCCTCAAGATTGAAGGATCTCATACTTGAGACAAGCCCATCACCAGCAGTGCTGGCTAGAGTCTTCTTCTTCTTTGAGGTTGGTGCCATGGGGGTCACGAATTCCTCTTCTCCCTCTGATTCAGTTTCTGGAGGAGAGTGGTAGGAGTTGTAAGAGGTGTCAGCTTCTTGTTCTTGTTCTTCTACAGCAACAGCTTTGACTACTGTTTCTTCTGCTTGCACTTCAACTTTTCTCTCTTGATGACCCTCAAATGGATCTACCAGTGTTATTCCTCTATTCCTTAGATCCTGAGCCAACAGGGACGTTCTCTGTACTGGCCACCAAAGAAAGCAGCAACAAGATCAATAAGAAAAGGACAGCAACAACAATGATACAATGAATCAATAAGAGTTCTTACCTGGTGGGCAATCTTTGGCCAGCTGTTTGCTTTGATGTACTCTCGGATGTAGTTAGAAGACTTCCAATTGAACACAGAGCCTGGTGTGTTGACTGGACTCCAACCTTCAGCTCCATTTGTATTCAAGAAATTCCAGAAGTGGTAGCAAGCAATCTGCTTTTCTAGAAGCAAATGATTGTAGACTAGGAGAGGATCCTTCTCTTGGTGTGTTCTTTTTGCTCCACTCTTTGGTTGGTGTTGAGGCATGGTACAAAAATTACGATTTAATATCCATATAATTTTTTATCTACAATTTATTATGTACTATTTCAAGCAGCAACAACTGCTTGCTCGCCAGCAGCAGCTCCAAGCATTTGTTGGTGGCAGCATCTTTTTGGATGGTCCATTCATGATCCCATTTTGCTTCCTTCTTGCTTGTAGCTGATTTTGGTCTTGGTTGCTTTCCAGCAAGAAAGTGATTTAGGGTGTGCTTATTTGCTTGCTAAATTTAACACGAGCTATCACGTGAAGCTTGAAAAAGAGCAACAAAAAACTCAGCAACTGCAGCAATCTTGTTCACTACTGGCCGGTATGCATTGAGTTTTTACTAAAGAATATTATGTTATTTTACGCCTGCAGGATAGTGCTATACATAAAAATATGCATATCCCCATATTAAAACAGGGCAATGCCAATCCAAATATCAGCAATACTGTGGGATTGAAGTACAGTTTACGAGAGCCAGTACTGGTAGGAGCCCCGCACATGCAGGAAGAGCAACTGTTTAGCTGCACACCAGCAGGCCAGCAGCTGCTGATCCCCCAGCTGCTCAGCTGCTGCTCAGCAAGGAGCAAAATCAATCTTTTTGAACATCTGTAGTACAAAAGCTGTGTAGAAAACGCTGTAGAAAATAGCAAATCAAGGGGGTACACTGCCCATTTTGCTCAAAATGGAATGGTTTTGATTCCACGTTCAAAATCACACTGAGGCCCACTGCGACCTGCCTAAAACTGCCTCCAGCACACTGATCTAGCACACTAAACTGCTCTTTCCATTCATTCAAAAAACACAGTTGCGACTGGAAGCAATTGACCATGGGAATAGATGTTTGAAGATCTTCAACTTACTCTTTCTTAGTACTGTACTTGGTATCAATCAATAGCTCTCTTCCATTGTGGATTAAACAAGCCTTGAACTATGGAAAAGGAGCAATAGAGCTCTCACTGTATATGGTTGTTTTATTTGACAATCTTCCTCCATTGATGCAATGGTGTTAACCAAAGATGGCATTGAACTAGTTGCACAAGAGGTTCTTCAGTGGGCTGAAAGGAGGAAATGGAATGCCAAGGACAAGGATATAAGGTTCAGAGCTTGCTTTGGAGCCCCAGGTGCAATAGTGGCAGATATCTGGAATAGAATAGTGGCATGTGGTCCTATTGACTCTGGTGGACAACCAAAGCATTTGCTTTGGGCGCTTGTTCATCTCAAGGTCTATTCAACAGTAGAGACGCATTGCACTCATGTGGGATGACCTTCAGGCACGACCTTTTCAAAGTGGTCCTGATACTTTATAAAGAAGATTGTAGAGCTGTTTGATGATCTAATCAGCCTAGACAATAGATTTGACGGACTGAATGGAGTAGCAAGGACCAACTGCTTCATAAGTGTCAATGGAACAGACGGTCCTGTCTATGAGCCTTGGCCTTTTGAGCAAGACATGTACTCACAGAAGAGCAATGGGCCAGGCGTGTAGTATGAAGTTGCTGTTTGCTTGAAGACAGGGTTTATTGTTTGGGTAAATGGTCCATTCTCAGCAAGCAAGAATGATAATACTATATTTGAGGAAGGGCTGGGTACACAACTTCATCCAGAGGAAACTGTTGAAGCAGACTGGGGCAATGGGGGAGATGCTAGACTGAGGCATCCATCAATGGGAATCAGTACTAGGTAGTCAGAAAAGAAAGATGAAATCAAATGCTCATGTGCATCTAGAAGCTGTAAATAGTAGATTGAAACAGCGCAATGTACTCACTGCACACTTCAGGCACATTAGTAAGCCAAGAAACAGACTATGTTGGAGAGACATCATGGGTTTTGTTTCCATGCTGTTGTTGTAATTACACAGCTCAAATTTCTTTCTGGGGCAACAGTCTTTGCAGATGGGCTGGATTACAATGTTCATTATTTTTTGTGGACATAGCCTCAACAAGATAGCATTCACTAAAATATACTTTACTACTATATACTACACACCATTTGAATATATTATCTATGGAGAAATATTGTATATACATATACGTATATATAATATTGGAGTCTCGCATATGGTACGTGCTGGTAGGGCTAGTACCACATGTGGACTATGTTTCTACCAATAATACTAGACTATGTTTCTATCTTGAATTGGCCATGTTTTTACCATAAATCTACCAGAAAAAAGCTAGATAAATTTGACTTCAATGAAAATTGTTTCCGGGGACCCCCCTATTCCTTCACTAGAGCTGTTTCCTACAAACACACAAGTGTCCAATGCAACAAAGTGGTTAAACTTGCGGTGGATCTACTACTAGTAGCTAAGAAGAAGCGTATGTGGAAATTCACTGTTTCAGAACGTCCCTGATGACCTACTATGTACTAGTAGATCCTAGTACCAGTATAATCCCCGTTCTTCATTTTGTACAATGCCATCATCTAAAAACAAAAAGGTTGGTCTTCTTGTTTCCTAAAAAAAGAGGTAGAAGAATGACACACACCTGCTAAGATTCAGAATGTCAAGCAGAGCATTCAGAATAAGCAAAACCGCAGTACTCATTTCTACCGGCCGGTACAAAGGCCGACAGTGCGGTGTAAACAATCGGAATGCCCGAAACGTTACTACCGTACGGTACTAATCGTTTGTAAATTTTGAAATCTGTTTTTGAAGTACTGTACGTACTGTACTGTACGGTACTTGTTTGCTGAGTCACGAACGACCAACGAGTCGTCAGTCCTTGCTTTCAATCCAATGTCCTTACTTCTTCTCGCTTTACTTTTTTCACGGCAGTAGGAAAATATACGGCAGATTACGCTGCTACAAAAAGCGAATTAATTTCTTCGAAGCAGGGCTCTCTTGCTTCCCTACCAAGCTCTTTCATTGATACATCATATCGATCGAATGTGAGTTACCCATGGTGAAATCGGGAGACCGTACGCTTCATTGTTATTCAATATCATATGAGCGTGTGCGTTGTACTATTTTCATGAAGGTTTAGCGGAATTCGGCACGTTTCTATGTTGTCGATGGTTGGATTGGCTGCTTATTTGAATTGATTGCTGTCGCCAATACGTTGCGGATGCGAGACGAGGTTCTGTGAGCTTCCGCATAAATTGTTTAGTCGTCCCTGATGAATCTAAACTAATTTCATCTTGTCTTTTCTTTTGCAGATACATTAATTCAAGATGGGTAAGCGCACGAAAAAGGTCGGAATCACCGGAAAGTACGGAACCCGTTACGGTTCCACTCTCCGTAAGATTGCCAGAAAGATGGAAGTCTCTCAGCACTCCACATACAACTGCGTTTTCTGCGGAAAGGACTCTGTCAAGCGCAAGTGCGTCGGTATCTGGGACTGCAGGTCTTGCCACAAGGTGATTGCAGGAGGGGCTTACACTTTGTCTACCGCTAGTGCCATTCAAACACGCAGTAACATCAACCGTCTGCGACGTACCATGGAAGATGCTCCTTAAATTATAAAGCAACAATGAAACCCCTACAATCTTCAATCAAAGCTTAGGTGTTACAGTTGTAACACGGAAATATTTCTCTCTGCTTCGAGCTACATTTTCCAAGTTACGCTTCTCTTCAAAGAAGTTTGTGCCTAGGGAATGTTTTTCTTGTATCTTATTATTTGTACCGTACAAGCATTATAGATAATGTACAGCTGTCATCATCATTTGCTGGTTTCCTTTGTGCAGGAGTGTGAAAATGCTGTTGCCCAGAGAAAAACCACGATAGATTGTCTATTTCAATGTCGTTTATGAATTCTTTCAACTGTCCGCGAATAATTGAACGGAACTTTTTTCTCCAAGTTCATCTCATTCCAATCGGTGGATAGTTTTGCAATCGGGGAAGTAAGCAATTTGTCCACCTTCCCTCACAAATGAGTGTGGAGAAGCAATTTCAGGGTTCTTTCACTCCAATTCCAAATTGACGAATGACTACTAGTACTAGCTAGTACTACTACTACTAGTATCCTTCGAATGTTACTAACAGCTCTCAGCAACAATGTAGTATATCTGGAAATAGCATTTTGATCATCCAATACTAGTAGTACCACCACCACCACCAGCACCACCACCTCGTCCTCCTCCTGCTGTTGCAATTTAATTGCCTGCTGCTGGTGGTGGTGCTGGTGGTGGTTGTTCTTCACATGTGTTGGAAATCAACAACAAGAAGAATCTCCTTCCAATCTATTCTGGTTGCTATTGTTAAATCAATCATCAAGAAGGAGAAGAAACAACTCCTTCTTCTTTACTTCATACTTTCTTAGTGGTTGGTAGTACCTGGTACTTGAGCTTGAGGATGAGCTATTGGTGTCTAATTATTGATTTATTGTGATACGGTACAGTACTAAGAGTACCGTACGTACGGAACGGTATGTACTCGTAGTGAAGAAGTATTTAGTGGAAGTAGTATTAGTATCATATGATTAGTAGGTTTGAATCCGTGATAGATGTCATACAATGAATAGAATTTTCTATTCGCCATACGTCAGTCGAGTCACGACTAATCAGCTGGCACGCGCACCGGATAGATTTCCCAACGCTTAGCCTCCAGCATTTTTATGAAAAATGTGGAAGGCCAAAGATCCAGGTAGAATGGCTAAAAGACCCTGTTTCGAAATTATCAGAAATGAATCCATTCAGTCACTCGCAACTAACCAAAAAGGCAGTTGCTCCAACCACTACTCAAAACTCATTACTTTATCAAGTTCTATCGAAAACTTCTGTCGAAGAACCCATATTATAGCAACAACAAGACAGAAGTGATAAAATGGCCGCACCTGTTCCTTTGCTCTTCTCCGAGGCTCTCAATGTAAGTCGATAGTTTTCGGAGATCCAAATCGTGTCGCGCATTTTTGTGCGTTGCGTAGCGCATAGTAGAAAATCTACTTGTCCCCGAGCATAAATCTCGATTGCAAATGACCGTTGCTTCGTCCAACGATGTTCGTCTCTTTGAGAAAGCCCTATCAAGAAGATCATACACTGCTAACCGAATAATACACACAGCATTCTGTATGCACCGAGTTGATCTCATTGCGGAGTACCGTGGAAGCTTTCTGTCATCATTGTGACTCTTCCAATTATCCGAAAGCATTGAGTCGTACATTCCCTCTCACCATTTTCATTTCATTTCAACGTTGTCTCTATATCGTGTCCTCCTGGTATTTTGTTTACCTCATGAATCCCAATTCTCGTAAAGCTCCAACAACTCGGAGTGCCGGAGGGTTCTATCAAACATGGACTGACTACAATGGAATCCGACCATTTCATCGTCTGCCGCGAGGAAGGTCAAGTGGCGATGATTGATTTGCGGCAAGGAGCGCAGGTTGACCGTAAACCTATTCAAGCAGAAGCCGCTATTATGAATCCAGCCCAGAAAATTTTGGCACTTCGATCGAATGTTGGAAGCGCCACCAGGGTTCAGTTGTTCAACCTAGATACCAAGGCAAAACTTAACTCGCACGACATGAGCGAACCTCTTGTCTTCTGGAAATGGACTTCGCCCACAAACCTTGGTATGGTCACGGCGACCGCAGTATACCACTGGTCATTGGAGGGACAAGGCCCACCCGTGAAGGTATTCGATCGCCATGCAACCATGGGTGCGAACACTCAAATCATCAACTATCGTGTGTCCCCAGACGGCAAGTGGTGCTTGTTGGGTGGAATCTCTGCGGGTGGTCAAGGAGTTGTCAACGGTAATATGCAGCTTTTTTCAATGGATCGAAAGGTGTCTCAACCGTTGCAAGGACATGCTGGCGCCTTTGCTCATTTGAAACTGGCGGGCAGATCTGATCTAGCGCAGGTCTTAGTCTTTCACGAGAAGAAGGCTGAAAACCCAAGTGCGCCACCTCAGCTTTACATCCGAGAGATCGGCCGGGATCCTAGCCTAGGTGCCCCATTCGTGATTCCGCCACAGCCTATTCCAGTTCCTCCGGAAGCTGCTTCCGATTTCCCCGTGAATCTTACCATCTCGAAGGACGACATCGCATATTTGACAACCAAGGCTGGATATGTATACATGTTTGATGTCCACTCGGGGTCCATCATTTATCGTGCCAAGATCTCGAATGAAACAATTTTCCTCACTTGCGCTTCCGATTCTGCAGGAGCTGTGTTCGGAATCACCGTCCGGACTGGAAAAGTATTGCGTCTTCAGCTGAATACGCAACACGTTGTACCCTACATTATGCAGACTTTGCGTAATGCTGAGTTGGCAGTCAAACTTGCAGGAAGATTGAATTTGCCAGGTGCCGAGCAATTGATGGCCGCTCAATTTGAGCAACTCATCGGTGCTGGTCAAGTCAGGGAAGCTGCTTTGGTTGTTGCTTCGTCTGGAACCGCACTTCGTACGCCAGCCACCATTGCTAGATTCCAACAGATTCCGGCACAGCCAAATGGTGTCCCTCCAGTTTTGCAATACTTTTCGGTTCTACTGGAAAGTGGTCGGCTAAATGAACAAGAAAGTATCGAAGTCGCAAAGCCTGTCATTCAACAACAGCGAACTCCTCTTTTGGAGAAATGGTTGAAAGAAGATAAGCTTCAGTGCTCCGAACAGCTTGGTGATCTGATCATGCCGGTCGATGTAGGCATGGCACTAAGTGTGTACCTTCGAGCTGAAAGTCATGCAAAGGCAATCCAATGCTTTGCTCAACGTGGCGAATACGATAAAATTGTACCGTACTCCACCAGCGTTGGGTTCAAAATGGATTACTCGCAAATGTTGAGTCAGCTTTTGTTCAACAATCCCGCCGGAGCTTTGGATCTTGCGAAGGGGTTGGTCAGTGCCGAAGGTGGCCCCTACATTGATATCCAGCAGACTGCGGAGGCATTTTTGAGCAGTAATCGTATCCAAGAAACCACAGCGTTCTTACTTGAAGCTCTGAAGGACAACAAGCCAGAACACAATTATCTTCAGACAAAGCTACTTGAAATCAACTTGATCGGTGGAGCACCACAAGTGGCCGATGCCATTATGCAACAAGGAACATTGACCCACTATGACAAGAATCATGTAGCAAAGCTTTGTGAACGAGCTGGCATGTGGCAACGTGCTGCTGAGAACTTCAGTGAAATCGCTGATATCAAGCGTTGTTTCAAGAATAGTCACCAGATGTCTCAAGAATTCGTGGTTGATTTTTTTGGAAAGCTGAGCAGAGATCAAAGTATTTCACTCCTTAAGGACATGATGAGCCGTGGCCCCCAAAATATGCAGGTGTGCGTTGAAGTTGCCAAGAAGTATCACGAAGAGCTCGGTTCTGAGGCTCTAGTGGAGGTATTTGAACAAAACAAGGCAACTGAAGGATTGTACTACTACCTCGGATCTATTGTCAATTTTTCCGAAGATTCTTTCGTTCACTTCAAGTACATTCAATCATCCTGTATGCTAGGTCAATTCAAGGAAGCGGAACGTGTTTGTCGTGATTCCAACGTATATGTCCCCAAAGAAGTCAAGGATTACCTTATGGGTGCAAAACTAGCAGATCCACGCCCTTTAATTCACGTCTGTGATCGTTTCGACTTTGTTGACGAGTTGACCGACTACCTCTACCTCAACAGTCTTCTTCAATACGTCGAGGTTTATGTTACTAAGGTATCACCACAAAAGACCCCCCAAGTGATCGGAAAGCTTTTCGACTTGGGTGCTAATGAAGATTTCATCAAGAGAATCTTGATGGCTGTTGGAACTGCTTGCCCAGTGGATGATCTGGTTGAAATAGCCGAGACTCGAAACCGCCTTCGTTTGCTTCAACCGTGGCTCGAAGCCCGTGTTGCAACCGGAAGCACTGAACAAGGAACTCACAATGCCCTTGGAAAGATTTACATCACTCTCAACCGCGATCCCAAGGCATTCTTGACGAACAACATGTTTTACGATCCCAAGGTTCTAGGACCTTACTGTGAAGCCCTTGATCCCCAACTTGCATTTACTGCGTACAAGAAGGGTGCTGGTGAATGTGATGAAGAGCTCATCTCTATCAGTCAAAAGCACGGTCTTTTTCGCGATCTCGCAAAATACCTCGTGGAACGCCAGGACTTGGAATTGTGGGCTAAGGTTCTCAACAAGGAAGAGGGTCAAGAAGAGAGTGACGAAGGTTCTCGTCGTCAACTGATCGATCAAATTGTTGAATGGGCCCTTCCTGAGAGTACTTCCGCTGATGAAGTATCATGCACAGTGAAGGCCTTTATGGCTGCTGATCTTCCAGGAGAGCTTATCACTCTTTTGGAGCGCATTGTTCTGCAAGGATCAGACTTTTCAGACAACAAGAACTTGCAAAACCTTCTTATTCTCACTGCCATTCGGGCTGATGCTACTAGAGTTTCAGGTTACATTGATCAACTGGACAACTTTGATGCGAAGGATATTGCTCTCATTTGTGTTTCCGAGAGCCACAATCTTTTCGAAGAAGGATTCAGTATCTACACGAAGTTCTCGAAGCCAGAGTATACTCAAGACAAGGACGAACAGGTCGAGTTGCAGGTTCTTGCCATTGGTGTTCTCGTTGACTTCATGAAGGATTTGGATAGAGCCAAGTCGTACGCAACTCAATGTGATGAAAAGCCTGTTTGGTCGAAGCTCGGTAAGGCTCAACTCGATGCCAAGGAAGCTTCAGAAGCGATTCTCTCATTCATCAACGCAGAGGATGCCAGCGAGTACATTAAGGTCTGTGCTGAAGCGAACGAAGGTGAAATTTGGTCTGAGCTTATCCCTTATCTCAAGATGGCACGCAAGTCGATGCAAGAGAATGTCATCGATACTGAGTTAATCTATGCTTACGCAAAGACGAACAATCTGACTGAGTTGGAGCAATTCGTGACTGGCCCCAATGTGTCTAATATCCAGAATATTGGTGACCGGTGCTTCAGTGAAGGACTCTATCATGCGGCGAAGATCCTATTCATTAGCATCAACAACAACTCGAAACTTGCGCTTTGTCACATTCATCTCGAAGAATTCAGAGAGGCTGTTGCAGCTGCGCAGAAGGCCAACAATGTTTCAACGTGGAAGCATGTATGCTTTGCCTGTCTGCGAGCTGAGGAGTTCCGTCTCGCTTCCACCTGTGGTCTAGAGGTTATCAAGTACCCTGATCACATTGATGAGGTAGTAGCATACTATTCCGACTTGGGATGCTTCACTCAAGTGATCGCGCTTTTCGAACAAGGAATTGGAATCGAGGACGCTCATATTGGAATCTTTACTGAGCTCGGTGTGCTGTACACGAAGCACGTCCCTGACAAAGCGATGGAACATTGCAAGGTTTTCTTCAGCAAGCTCAATGTTTCGAAGGTAGTACGCGCATGCGAACGCGCTAGGCTATGGGACCCTGCTGTGTACTTGTATACCCATGACAAACAGCATGATAGCGCTATCAAGATCATGATTGAAAGAGCCAATTCCTTCGACAACGACATTTTCTTGGACGCTGTCGTCAAGGTCAGAAACAACGAGATCATGTACAAGGCTGTGAATTACTACCTCACAATGCATCCAGATCTGTTTACTCGACTCATGGAAGTTTTGGAAGAAAGCATTGACCATTCTCGCGTAGTCAGTCAGTTGCGCCGATCTGGTGATCATGCGTTGCAGCTCGGACAAGACTACCTCAAGTCGGTGCAAAAGAATAATCTCAGCCCTGTGAATGAGGCTCTCAATGAGCTCTACGTAGAGGATGAAGATTATGAATCCTTGAGAAAATCTATTGATGGATTCAACAACTTCAATATGATTGCTCTTGCTTCTAAATTGGCCACTCACGAGCTGTTGGAGTTCCGTCGCATCTCAGCATACGTCTACCGATGCAACAAGAAATGGAGTCAGTCTATCGATTTGTCGAAGAATGATCGCATGTGGAAGGATTGTATCGATACTGCCAACGAGTCTGGGGACAGCGAGATTATCGAAAGCCTTCTTCGTTTCTTCTGTGATTCTTCTGAAAAGGAATGCTTCTGCGCAGCCTTGTACACATGCTTTTCTCACATCAGTCCAGATGTTGTTATCGAACTTGGATGGCTCAATGGGTACACTAACTTCGTTATGCCCTTCCTCGTACAAACTTTCAAGAGAACTCATCAGCGAATCGAAGACTTGGAAAAGCGTACCGAACCACCTAAGGAAGATGATGCACAGGATGGAATCGCTGCCACCTATGGAAACCTGAATGGTTTCGGGGGAGGTGTTCTCATGCTTGAAAACGGAGGAATGGGAGGCATGCCACCACAAATGGGTGGCATGGGAGGACCAGACATGTCCAGTTTTGGTGTTGGAGGCATGCCAAATCCTGGAATGATGCCAAATGGGGGTATGAACGGAGCCATGCCTCAGATGGGAATGCCTCAGATGTAGAGGGCGATACCGAAGATTGAATACGCATTATTTAGTATGAAGAACATTATTCATTGATATCTATCATTTAGTGTAACATCTTTTTTTTCCATATTATTTTCAGTTCAATTTTCGGTCTCTCAAGACATTTTATTACAATGCAGCAGGTCACGTCTGCAAATGCCTTTCCCGTGCAAAGGCTAGTAGAAAATTTTAGCTCATTTTTACCAGTAAAACCTGTTATATTAACTGTCAATGAAATAAAGACTGTTCAAAAATTGTCAATCAACTTCTGAAAAAATCCTGGCATTGAGAATGGCTGAGGGCCACTCCAGGATTTTTTAGCAACTGAACCCATTTCACCCATTGCTTTGCCCGTTTTTTTTTAATTTTGAATGCCATTATTTTTAAACTGCTGGGAGCGTGCTCCTCCGTATCACCAGTGTCCTCCGTATCAGCATACTCCATATCTGGAATCTCAACTATACTCCAATGTAATGACTAAAAGAGGCGCACAGGCCACTTGGTACAAAGAAAAACATGAAAATTTCAATACATAGTAGTTTAGTGAAAGGAACACACATATTATGGATGCTTTCATAATTTTGCATCGAAAATATGCACATTCCTCGCACTAGCTGCTATTAAACTCACTAACAGACCACAGTTTCCTTCTAGGAAGAAAGAAGGCCACAATGGGAGTAGTGGAGGTCATTACAATTTATTGCGACATTCAACTGAATAATCAAAGTTACAAAAAGAAACTCTCTCCTGAAGAGCGTCGAAGGAGGGATAGGAGAACACCACAGATTGCAATCCGGAGATACACCAATTCCCCCTTCCTCCATCATCTCTTTCAATCAGGGGATGACCAAGCACTACTCAACTGCTGTGCTGTCAACCACAGGGTCTTCAGGGAGCTTGTTGATGTTTTTGCTCCAGCATACAACAAGTTCACTATCAACAACAACAATGAGATCATGGAGGTTCCTTGTTACTACCCCAGTAGCAAGCCCAATGGGAAAAAGAGAGAGGTTGACACTGTCTGTGCTATTGGACTGGTACTCTACTGGTGCAGGACAAGAGGATCAGTTGCAACAGCAATGGCAATGGCCTTTGGCTTAACATAGTGATGTACAATTGGCTCAAGTTTTCACGGAGAGTGATGCTTGTTGCCCTTCACAAACACGCAGATGCCATGGTCAGTGTTCCAACTGAGGTTGAAGTGGATGCTTATGTTAAGGCTATTGGAGACAAGTATCCAAGGCTTGGCGAACAACACACTTGGGCTACTGCTGATGGTCTCAAGAGTGCCATTGAAGCCTCTGAAGACTGGTTCAAACAGAGAGCATTCTACAATGCCTGGAAGGAGAACACCTTTGTCAACAGTGTGTTTGTCTCTGCACCGGATGGTAGAATTTGAATCTCAGTCTTCAACTGTCCTTGTGCTTGGCACAATAGTGCTTTTGCTGACCATGGTGTCTATGACAGGATTGAGGAGGTCCACGACCAGTCCAATAAAAAGGTAGTGGTGGATTCAGCATTTGTAAAAAGCTCACAATAGGACCGTGAGAAGGACAACCTCCTTCTTATCAATAGGGAAGTACATCCTTGAGGCAGATGTTGGAGTGGGGGATGAGGATGATTCAAGGACAGTTTCCAAGAATCAAAGACATGATGTTCTTGGAGGAGCATGGAGACAGGAAGATCATCATGAACTTGTTGGTCAACCTGTAAAACTACCAATGCAGCAATATATGACACAACCAGATCCTGTCCACCTTCATGAAGACACCGGCAGCAACTGGTGTGGAACAACTGTACAAGAAAATTGATCTTGCAAGTGGCTTCTTCTGTGTAGGTCACGAGCTGTCTCCGGACACCAACAGCTTGTTTTGAGGGCAAATCCCATGGTCAATTGGTGCATTTGGTTACTTGGAAAAATAAAGTTTAACAAGGTAATGAGCAAACACAAGGAATTATCTATCACAAACACATCAAGAACCAATTCATTTGTACATCAGTCAATTGCTTCATACAGCGAGCGATTCATACAGCAATCAATTCATACCAATGATGTATGGCAATCTCCACCATGGTCGAAGGAAGCAGCCATTGTGTTCCTTAAGGGTTGTTTATCTGAATTGGAAGTGTGTGCTTCAACACAGTATCATACTGGGATAATGGACATTGCATGCTGTTATCTACGGGAAGCTGTTAGCTGCTTCTTACTGCTGCAGATCAATTACTGTGGAAGGATCAGTTTTTGTGTACCACTTTGGGTTTTAGCATGTACCTTGTCCAATGTTGGCTGAAAGAGAGCAATGCTGTGGAACTTTAAAATTTATACTGTAATGAATATGAGTTCACATTTATACTGCAATGAAGAAGAGCCTATGATACGCAACATGTGCATGTCAAGGCAAACTACAGGTGCATGCGAATACAAATGGTTTTTCCACTGCAGACTACATGTGCATGCCAATACAAACCGTTTTTGTGGGAATCCCCATGTGTTAGACTAGCAGAAACAGATTCAAATCCCACATTGGTATGCACAAAAACCCATACAAGAAGACCAATCAGGAATAAGTACAATCCCTAGTACTATCACATACTGCGACAGCGCAATATACTGCATACAGGTGATATGCTCATACAGCTACTGATCAGTCCATTAAGTTGATTTGAATTAGTGTTTGCAAGTATCAACCATGGGTTTAGTTGTTTTCACAATGGGATTTCTCCCCAACACGTTGTTACTGGGGTGTTTGGTTCTGTCAATTGGTTAGTAAGCATGGTTGTTGTTGTTGTTGTTGTT